GCTTCCCCCGCCAGGCCACGTCCCCCAGGGAATGAGGGTTGGGGCTGCCCCTCTGGGAATTTCGCCCGGGAAACTGGTGCGGGGCCCCGGCTCTCGTACGCCCTCGGCGCACACGCGAACTAGGCCTTAGACCCACAGTCTTCTGGGCCCCGCGCCTTAGAAACTGGGCCACGGTCGGTCAACCGTTCGTGAACATCACCTTTAAAAGGCGTCCCCTTGCCCCTCCCCCACCCGCCTGCCCGAGGAAGCGGGGACCCGCCCCTCCTTCGCCACGTGTTTCAGTTCCTCCCCTCGCCGCCCCGGCAGCCCTCCGGTGCAAACAACTAGCAAACCAAACTTTTCCACCGCTGAAAGCCGCGGCCCGCACAGCCGGGGAGGGAGCAGCAGGTGGGGCGCGCGTGGTGGGCGGGACCCCGGGCACTCCGGAAGTTGCCCCGCCCCGAAGGCTCCCGCGTCGGGAAAAGGAGGGGAGGGCCCCGGCCTCTGTTAGACCGGCGAGCGCCCCTCCGCCTGACTGCTCCCGGTTCCCGTGTCCCCGCAGGGCGCCTCTGCCTGGCCCACTCTTCCCGGGGCTTCCCCTCTTCTACTCGGGCCTGTGACGCCGAAAGCTTTCCCAGAAGCGCGCACAGCCGTCTGCTTTTCCCGCGGCTGGTCTTTGTTCAGGGCTGCGAGGGAGGAGGCGGGGGGGGCGGGTGAGGTTTTTAAAAAGTGGCCCGTCCCGGGGAAGAAGTGCCCCAGAGCCCTGAGAGCCAGCGTTCTGAGGAACAGAAACTCGCTTGTCCCTTCGTGTCGCTTACATGCCCTGAAAGTACTTCCTCGGCCTCTGTGTTTTAAAGTCGCAGGGAAAACACGATCTTAAGATTGAGAATCGGCGCTGCTCATTGTACCTTGGCGGAGACGTGTTTTCTCCCTCGCACTTGGGGTAGACAGGGTTCGCGACCCGTCACCCTCCCGAGGCGGTGTGGGGGCCTGGCCGACGCGCCCAGCCGGACTCGCGCCCTCCCGCTCCTCCGCGTCGGGTCCGCTGCGGGCGCTCCCGATCGGGGGTCGAGGCCAGAGCGGACCGGCGGCTGCGCCCAGCGGGGAGCGCCCCAGGCGCGCGCTTTTCCAGTTCCTTCGACAGCGCGCGGCTGAGGTCGCGGCTCTGGGCGCTCGGAGGCAGCCGTGCGGTAGCGACACCTCGGCCCCATCAAAGGCGGGCGCGGTCTTGTATCCGGGCTGGGTCTGAGGAATCCGCAGGGGTGAGCGGGTTGGCGCCTAGGCGTGAGCCTCTGCTGGCTTCGACGGTTCGAGAACAGGAAGGGCCTGGCTGCTGCCGCCCGGCCGGCTCAGGGCCAGCGAAGTAACAGGCCGTTCCGCTCCCCGTTTGTTCCAAAAGGCGTCGGCACGTGGGGGTCTCGAGCAGGCCTCCGACTGCGGCCCGTCTCCTTCCCTGCCAAAACGGTGTGGGGACAGGACGGTCCGGGACCTTCCCCTCTGTTCAGCGGTGTCCCCCGGCCGCGCGACGCGGGTTCAGCCATCTCCCCCACCCCAGGCGGCCTCTGCTCTCCACCCCTGGCCCCGGAGGGCGGCTTCGGGGATCTCATGGGGGGTTTGCGTAAGTCTGTCCCCAACCAACCGAGGGAGAACCAGGACATTATCGCCATCTTCAGAAATTGACTGCTGGCTGTCCTACCGCCTGGCTAGACTTCCCCAACCCCTTTCACTTTGAAGCCGGCCGAAGAGCGAGGTCGTGAAGCTGACGGGGTGAGAGCTGAGTTAGGGTCGCGCACAGGGAGAGGGGACAAGTTTTCCTGCTTTCACAGGGGTTTCTGCACGCTCAGGCTTCCAGCATCTGTCTGCACCAACATCACCGTGGTCGCAATGAAAATGGTGAAATAGGAACCCTGACACCCCCCCGTCCCCGACACACACACACACCCCGCCACTTCCATGAGAACCCAGCAGAGAATTTCCTGTGACAGTCGGGACCATCGGAAACTGCCGTTTTGATTACCTATTAGTTGGATGAGGAGCACCTACCAGAACTCCCAAATCTGGAGTCAGAACATCCTGACTTTCTCAGCAAGGGTACCTGCATCCTGAGCTTTTACATATACACACACAAACCCAGCGATATTTCGTGCTGAGAAAGACCCACAGATGCACATTATTTTTCGCTCTTCCACTGTTATCTGCCACAGTTCTACTCAGTTAATTGCGGTTTGAGAACACACACCATCCAGAGGAGAGCACCAGTGGATCTAGTCTAGTGAGGTGACATTTACTTGTAATCCTCCCCCTTCCCTTTCCAATTTCTTTGATGATTTTTCCCATACGTGTGTAAGCTACGGGGACTTAGTAGAAGCAGGCCGCTCCTCCTAAATGTGATTTGGACCATATGCTTTCTACATTCATTCCCGCTCAGGCTTTTCTTCTCTGCAGTAACTGCTAACACGTTATAGTCACCTTGAAATTTCCTCTGCTATTTTCCAATTAAAAGCTTAATAGCCCTGGAAACGGAGTTCATGTGGTGAAGTTTACCATAGCCCCTTGTTCTGAAAGGCTTTCTGCTGGGATCCCATTATGTGCTTGAATAAACCCTTTCTGCAAACAGAAATGGGACTCGGGGTTGTCAGGTGTTGGGTTACAATAGACTTTGAGGCAGGGGACATTTTACCAACATAAATACAAACCTGTCCCTATAGGGAGATGTTGTCAAATACTGGGATATGGAAAACATTCCCATCAAATATGAGAAAAGGATTACTGCACTATATCAAATGAGTATTTAGATCTCAGCCCCCGATGTGCACCGGAGTGAAACGGGCCCCAGGGCCCAAATAATGCCAGACCGTTTGAGTGGCAAGGAGTTAGGGTGGCTAGGTGACCGAGGGAGGAACGGGGAAGAGGGGTCGCCTTGGTAGTGAGAATGCCCCCACAAACCTGGTGCAGAGCTCTTCTGCTTTCCTTTTTAAAATTTATTCATGCTCAAGTTCTTTCTACTCTCTCGTTTCACTGACCATTTGAAGAAAATCGGAAGAAATTTGGTTTTGAAAAAAGTCGTTGATCCCCACGTTTCCAAGAGACCTGGAGGTTTCGGCGCGGTAGTTTTCAGATAAAGTGTCATTCGTGGCCCTCTATACCTCGGCGCGTTAATGACTCGCGTTCAGCTCCGCACTTCCTAGCCTCGGGCCTACAGGGCTGCGAGCGACCTCTGCCTCCCGTTCCAAGAGCTTACGAAATTTCTTCCAGTTGTGCTTTAGGGCTTGTTTTCTTAGAGAAGGCTGAGACTAGAGGAAGGATTAAAGTGGTGGGGGAAGGGGCAAGACCGAGGGGTCCCTACCCCACGCGGCTTTGGAGGATGGCCTCCTACTCGAATGCTAGGGCTTCTTGTCCACACTCCAGGTCAGTCTCCCGCGATCCCCATCTCACGGACGTGTATGATACGGGACAGCTAAAGACTTCAAGGGAAACACACAACCGGGTTCGGTTTTAAACCCTCCTCTCCTCCGCGAACCAGCCTTATAGGCAGAGGGTTGGCTGCTAGAACGCCTGGAGGTGCTTCCCTTGAATTCACAGCAAACACCAGAGGAACGTTTTCGGGTTGTTTGCTTACTTTCAGGGGAGTACGGAGACAAGGAAGAAAAGCAGCCTCCTGGAGGTACAAGGGCCTCTGTGCCCATGAGGGGTCGGTCATTGCAGCGGACTTGCCCGCTTTCATCTAGCATTCGATTCCCCGCCAGGAGATGAGCTTGGTGCAAACACTCTTAGAAGCGTACCCACCGAAGTCTCTGGAACTGCCCCGCTTCGCATAGAGCTATTGTGCTGTCCTGCTTCCAGTGTATCCACCTGTTTTTGGTTTTTGTTTGCTTGCTGATGGGCAGGGGCGAGGAGCGAGGGGGAGGGCCTTGCTTGTGCATATATAGTGATAGTCTGCACTAGGCCAAACCGGCTACTCCTGGGAGAATGGGAACACGCAAATAATCTAAACGAAGTTTTCTGCTGTCATCTCGTGCAAGGGCCCTCTCCCCCAAGATATCTATGACTGGGGCCTGTGGGTTAAGGGGTGAAAAGTGGCCCTATCCCATATCCATAACTAAATAACTGAATCCTTGGGGATTTGAATTGAGTGGCTGGTTCCAGACCTCCGTTTGCTTCCAGTGGCTGCTGGGAGAGAGGGAAGAGATAACTTTGGGGGCGCTAATGCGGCTTCTGCGTCTGCTCCTTGAAAGTTTACACCTGGCGCTTAGCAAATTCTTTCCGGGAGCACGTATGTCCCTGACCTTTCAGCATATTGTTTTATATTAAAACATGGAGAGGAGGGTAAAGTAAAACTTGCCTGCAGAAAAAAAAAAAAAAAAAAAAAAAAAAAAAAAAGTCATCCTTCGGCCGGCAGATCCTCACAAACATTTTCTCCCAAAGCAACAAAAGATTTTAAAAAATACGTTTTAAAAGGAAATAAAAGAGCCTAACTTTCCCAAACCAACATCACTCCAATCCCCTATCCTAAACTCCACCCAGGTCTGTAGTGCACCCCCAACACTCCCATAGGTTCGGGTTCTCCCGGAGCTGAGTTTCTGCAGCCAAACGTCGGGATAAAAGCGGCCTTGGGCTCAGACAAACGCGGCCACAGCAGGACTGAAGGGAGGAGAATAGAGAGAAAGGGAGCGGCCACCTCACTCCCTTACATGGACCCCCACCCTCACTCTCGCTGGTCCTCGCCTTCTCCGCCCCGCGAGCACGCCGCGTTCCGGAGCGCAGCAGTCTCTCGCTGAAGGCTCGGGTAGCGGAGAGGACTTGGAGGAGGGGGCCGTGAGCGCCCCCGCGAGCGTGGCCTGGCTGCAGGTGGCAAGGAAGGTGAAGTGCAGGGACCTGAGGGGAGCAAAGGAGGAGGAAGGCGTGGGGCGGGGAGTGCAAGGAGACCGGGACCCCAGGGGTGGGGGTGGCGGTGGGAAGGAGGAGGGGTTGGAGGAGGGCGGCGGAGGAGGTGCTGGGTCCTGCCAGCGCGCGAGGGAGCTGCAGACGAACTGGTTCAGACTTTAATCAGAGCTCTCGCCCGCTCCTTGCAGCCGCCGCTGCGCCTTAGCAAGGGAGGAAGTGCCGACTCGGCTGCACGCCCAAAGCAGCGGCCCGCATTGGGGGTTGGCTGGGCGCGAGCCGGGAGGCCAAGCTGTGAGCGCCGAGGGAGCTGGAGAGACTGCTGCGGCACCTCCGGCCGCTCCGGGGCACACCCAACCACTGGGCTACGGGACCAAGGGTCGCCCCGCCCGGAGGCCGCCCCTGAGCGTGCCTCGCAACCCCGCCGTCCAGTGCTCCCTGGCCGGCTCCCGCCTCCAGCCTGCCAACTCATCCGGGAGCCTGGGGCATGAACGGCTACGGCTCCCCCTACCTGTACATGGGCGGCCCGGTGTCGCAGCCGCCGCGGGCGCCCCTGCAGCGCACACCCAAGTGCGCGCGCTGCCGCAACCACGGCGTGCTCTCCTGGCTCAAGGGCCACAAGCGCTACTGCCGCTTCAAGGACTGCACCTGCGAGAAGTGCATCCTCATCATCGAGCGGCAGAGGGTCATGGCGGCGCAGGTGGCGCTACGCCGGCAGCAAGCCAACGAGAGCCTGGAGAGCCTCATCCCCGACTCGCTGCGCGCACTGCCCGGGCCCCCGCAGCCCGGGGACGCCGCCGCCGCCGCCCCGCAGCCGCCGCCAGCCTCTCAGCCGTCTCAGCCGCCGCCGCCGCGCCCTGCTGCCGAGTTGGCCGCGGCCGCCGCTCTGCGCTGGACCTCGGAGCCGCAGCCCGGGGTTCTGCAGACGCAGCTCGCCAAGCCAGGTAAGAGCGTCTGCTGTGCGGGAGTTTGGCCGGGCGCTTGGGCAGCTTCGGAGTGCCTGCTGCAGCTCCGCCTGGAAGGCCTGGAGGCAAGGTTTTGGGAAGTGGGTTTGGCGGAGCTTTCCTTCTTACCCTCCGCCAGGCCGGTGTTTCCTCTCCCAGGAGAAGCCGGCTGAGTCTGGACCCGGCGCGAGTGGCACTCGCGCCCGCCGGGAGGGCGCCTCCGGGGAGCCACACCACGGGACTGTGCATCAGGGTCGCCAGGAGCCTTCCCCAGGTTGAAGGGGAACGTGTCAGATTGAGTAGAGAGATAAACGGATCGAGACGGGACCAAATTAAAACGCAGGCGGGCACACTGCCCTACGTGGGGCAGAGTTTTCTGGGCTGCGGGTTTTAGAGGGCCTCGCATTTGTGGGTAGGAATGGGTAGCTGTAGGGAAGGAGCCAAGGCCCAGCACTGGCTGACTCTAAGCTGCCCGGCCCGGCCCAGGGCCCAGGAAAATTTGAGTGAGGACGAGCATTCCAACTCTAAGAACCCATGGCCTTTCTAGCTTTGCCCCATGGCCCTTCTAACTTTGCTCCGTGGCCTCCAGACTGTTGTAACTGGTGAAAGAAGTTCCATTTAGCAATGATCGTAAAAAGGTCCCAAAAGGCTCCTGAGCTGATAGCCGGACCTGGTGCGCCAGAATTCACTCCTTTGCAGAACCTCCTAGATCCTTTAACACCGTTCCCCAGGCTGCCCTCAGTTGTCTTCGTGGTTTAAAGAAATAAAAAACAAAATCTGATCCCCCACCACCCATCCGTTTCTCTCCTCCAGGTCTCCTGAGCTTGGCAGGCCTGAGTTGGGTGTCTTAGTCTCTTTCCTCCTGGGGAATTTCTAGATTGCGGTTCTGCCTAGCCCAAGAGCTCTTCTGATGGCTCTTGAAATTCAGGGGACATGTGTTTGGTGTTTCTCTGGGTCAAATGCACAAAGGAAAACGGCCCACCTTCTCCCGGAAGGAGGCGTGCTGGAATTAGTAGGGGGAAGGTCCAGAGCCCTCCTGTAGGTAGAACTGCGGCAAAGCTGGTACCTACACTGACCTGCCAACTCCCTAAAGACAGTACCCTAGCTTCTGGAGAGAGGCTTTCAGGAGCACAGGACTGCTTGTCTGGATCCTGTGCAGCTGGGGAAACGATGCAGACTCACCTGTTTTGTGGTGAGTCGATGGGTGGCTGGCAGGTCTGGTCTTCTGCCCTGTCTTTCAGTCATGCTATTCAGGCCTGAAGCTCTGAGAACAGCCTGTGTGAGAGAAGGGCTGGGAATTTTAAAGATGGAAGAGAGTTTGCTGAACTTGGATTTTGTGGATATTTAATCCAAGTTAGCATATAAACATTTCTCAGGAATGCTCACCAGTCCTCTCTTTTGTCTGTCTCATCTTTTTATATTTATGGATTTGCCACAGAGGAATGAGAGAAGGAGAAAAAGATTTTAGTGTTTTTTTTTCTCTCATAGGTTTGAACAAGTAACTAGGAGGAGTTTGGTCTCAGCTCTAGAAATGGATTTGTACCAGTATATTTTCTTAATTTTTTTCCCATTTCCAGCTTCTCTGATTCCGTTTCCCCCAGAACTAGGGCAGAGGTCTGAGTTAATGTCAGAGGTAGCATTTTGCAGTGGCCACCTGCCCGACAGCACTCCTGTGATGGGCATTGGGTTCTGTGGTCTCTGTCCAAGGGGATTCCTTTCACATCCTGTGTTCTTCAGAGTGTTCTTTGGGATAGCCAAAGCTCATGATTTCTAAAGAGTCACAAAACTAAAAACACAACCCCAGGAGGAGGAGGAGTGAGGGCAGGCAGAAAGGCCGAGTAGCAGCTGCAGCAGCGGCAGCAGGATACATGCTTTGGGAGAATACAAAAAGGAAACAGATTTCAACTGGACAAACCAGAGCTGTGCTCTGTTTTACTCCTACCTAATACTTGGTGATAGCCTGAGCCTTCCAAACTGAAAACAGGTAATTGCAAAAGAGAATACGATTTATCTCAAGGAGAGGTCAAAGTGATGACTTTGGGGGACTGAGGCATCAGGGGGCTCAGATTCCAGCTAGTCACCCCCACCCCATACCTTGCATATTGATGTACACAACTTTTGTTTTCTTCTTTCAATTGATTTGACCCCATAATTCATTTTTTTTTTGAAAAAGCCAATCACTAATCTGATGGGAAGTGGGGAGAAAGGAGAATAATAGATAATTGTTTAGGAAGACAAGCCGACAATCGGATCCATTCTGCGCAGTGCTGGTAGGAATAAACTGCATTAGGGGTTTAAGTTGGAGACAACTGCCCACTGAGACTGCCTGTTGCTATATGTATTATACCCTTTTTGCAGTTGTTCTGATAATGTATTTGTGTATAACATTCCATGTGTGTTTAGAAGGATGTCGGAACTACTCCTGGATAAGTAGTTCACTATATGTAGAGAGTAAGCAAATCTCTATTGGAATAGTAGGTCCACATGTACATTAAATAGATAGACCAGCAGAAATCTTTAAATATCTGCTGGCAGTGTAGATCTATTACTTTGTGAACTTTGATTTTTAAAATGTGGTTGGTCTTTTTGCAGGGCAAAGGGCCTCTTTAGTACATAGCTTTGGAGAGAGAATTTTTTTTTCTTGTACACAAAAGCACATGGAGTCTTTCCTCTCAAGAAATCTTTGAGAAAAGCGCATGCCTTCGAAAGTGTATGTTTGCTGTGAATCACTGGAGAAAAATCACCCAGTTTAGGGAGTGGTGTATTCACATCAAAACTCAGTTTTGTAACTGGAAGAAATTTTTCTCAAATTTTGCTTTAGATTCTTTAAAGGACTGGAGTTATTTCATCTAATGGTGTAGTATGTTGAATATCCCTTTCAATGTGTGGTGTTTTTAAGGAAAATTTTCATATTCTAGTGGTTTTTACTTCTAGTTATGAAGTTTTCTTTTTTCTTTTTGAATGTAGACTTCTCCTGCTCTTTGATTACCATCTATGATGTACCTGGAATTAATTATTAGATTTTGATTGAGCCCAATATTTTGATTTAAGCTATATATAGATTTGTTAAGCTAAATATTTGCATATATAGATATATTAAGCTATATATCTATTAAAAGCTGTATCTGTAGCTTAAATTTAAATTCTAATATCAGCTGTATATTTTTGTATATATGTATATATACATACACTGTTGAGTTCATTTATTCTTCTAAATTCCTTCTACATTCTTCTAATACTCCTTCTCCCCATGAAAATAGAGGAGGCATGAAGATCTTCCAACTGTTAGTGTATCTGAATCAGTAGTCTCAACAAGGCTAGCCAGGCTTTCAGGATGTGGGCTCAAGAGCTGAGGGAAGTTAAGGGTCACCGCCAAGGTGAAAAGCTAAAATTACATTTTTGTGTTGTGGCTCCCTTCCCCACCCCCAACTTTTCTTCCAGGGGAGTCTCCTGGGTTGCCTTAGACTTTGGTGTGAGGAGAAGAAAGATCTTTGGCTATAGATTCTTCGTGGGTCTCTATCTGCCATCAAAATGAATATGTACACACATTCTTTTAAATGCTCTTAAAGGGAGAAAGAAATCAAAACCGTAGTTGGTTAGGAATAAGAGAGCAGGATTAAATGGGAAAATAGGATCTTCTTTTCTGTTGATTTATTGCGGGACGGGGGTGGAGCAAACAAGATAACTATGGGGGAGAAGTAAGGAGATTTTGGAAAACTGCTTTTATTTTATTTTTCCTCTTGCCCTGCCCCTCCTAGCATCTTTATGCTTGCCTCTGGGCTTTTCTGCTCCAGCTTGATTGGGTCCTACCAGATCCACTTCCTTTTTTTTCTTTATTTTTTTCCCACAGTAAAGCACCTGCAAGTGTAGTGGGTATTATGGAATACTGGTCCAGGCCAGGTTGGGAAACCCTCTGACTATTGGCTAGGAGGAAATGAAAAGCAGGAAAAACCCAAAAACCATTTATGAAGAAAATGTACCTGTGAATTGAAAAACAGGGTCTCATTTTAAGACGGCTTGATTTGAAGGTGAGTCAAATCAAACCCATTGACTCAGTTGCATTTTAAAAAACAAAATTTAAAAAACATTTTAAAAAACAAGGGTTTGACTCAGTTGCATTTTAAAAAACAAAATTTAAAAAACATTTTAAAAAACAAGGGTTTGACTCAGTTGCATTTTAAAAAACAAAACACAACCAAATAAAAAGGAATACACATACAGGCACTAAGATCTCTTCCAAACCCCACCCCAGGGCTGGCTCTTGGGGCTGGAATGCTGCCGCTGCCAGGGAGGGGTCTTCCCAGCTCTTGGCTTGGCTGGTTTGCATGTAGTACAGATGGTGTGTGTGTTGGGGAGCTGATGGCAACTGGCCCAGGACTGGGACCCTGGCCCCAGCAGGCTCAAGGTAGGGGTAAAGATTGGGGGCAGTGGAGGGGGGGGACCCTGCGGCCACACTGGACTGCCGCTATCCCCTTGCACCAGGGGGTCGGAGCTGCAGCTGAGCCCAGCTCCTCGACGCCTGCAGCAGGCAGCTCTTTCCGCGCTCACTGTGGGCAGCTCAGGAATCACACAGAGACAGCCACATCCCTTGTCTCTCCCATGCCCAGATCTTGCCACCACTCCCTCTCTGCTCGTCCTGAGCTTACTACCCGCTCCTTCCCAAGGGAGGAGTCCAAAGTCCCAAAGTGAGTTGCCAGCTTTTGCAAAAATCATGCAAACAAAAAATAGGATGCCAATATTGCATGGGACATACTTTTACTAGAAATTCTTCATTATTAATCTGACGTTCCCACTTAACTGGACGTCCTGTTATTTTACCTGGCAACCATAGGCCTTGGCCTTCCTTACCCAGCCCCAGTACCCACGAAGGTACTGCCTGTATTCATTTCCTAGTTATTTCTCTGCAGAGCCTGATCTGCATGGGACTGGTGTGGGGGAAGCGCTGGGGTCTGTCGTGTGGATCTGGGGACCAGTTGGCAGGAAAAATGAGAGTGTGTTCC